TTATCCTTTTTTCCATCGTAGAAACATTTTAATTCTGCAAAATTAGAAATATTTATAATATTTTCACAGAAAACGATAATTATATATATTTAACCTAAATTTAAATCGTAAACTTTAAACATAGCCAGGAAAAGCACATACCACCATTTTCCAAGTTCAAACCTTCGAAATCTAGGGTTGATTTTTCTGCCATGATTGACTATGTATTACACATCAAGTGGTTAAACGGTATAAATTCGTAAATATTTCGATTTCTTAAACTTTTCTAGAAATATTCGAAAACGATTCATTGTTTCTTCAAAGATAAATAAAAAGCTACGTAATTAAGAATAAAGAGATATTTTCGTTTGACCCATTCGCCTAATAACCTGGCATTGTACACGCTATCGTTAACACGCCACATTAACCTTGTGTTATCTGTTTCTGGTTCCTTATTTTCGTCGAAAATGATGGTTGCTCTGGAAAATGTGTAGTTGTTTACTGTATTTTAACCCAGAGCTTAGCTTTTATCATAAAAGATAGATTATACAGAAAAATATGTAAAAAGAATTTTGTTTTCGAATAGTTTGTAGTTTTATGGTGGTTTTCTTGCATTTTTCTATATAATTTTTTATTTCTAGTACGGATACCAAAACCACGGAGGTAGCATACGGAATAATACAAAAAAACTGATTCTCAAGTCCGATCGATAAGTATTGTATATTTGCACCCAAAAAATTCGGTTTTCTATTGGAATGTACAGTACAGTACATCTAACAAACTACATTGTCAAAATACAGTAGACTTATCATGTGACACGACTGCCTCGACCGTAACATTCGCGTGCTTTGAACAGATTTTTCCTCATCTCGGAAGGTTTGATGAACTCGGACCTTAAGTTTGAAATTTGATGCGTGAAACATATAAACGGTTCCTATAATACCAGGCTCTTACTTTAAAATTCGGAGCACGTACATGCACGATTAAGTAAACTCTGTGACGTTTTAGAAGAAAGCTTTCAAATTTAACGTCTGGGTTGCGAAATAACGGCAGGTTAATTTTAGTTTGGATAAAGGTGAATTTTTATTCTTCCGTTACATAACCTTGTTTGGGTGATTAATGCCGAAAACTTTGCTTCTTTACAAATGCACTCTCTCCTATTTGTTTTTATCTAAAAAGTACTGTATTCGACTTCTATTAAAAAGCATTACGCGTAACGCCAAATTTATAGAGCAAAAAGTACATAAAATCCTTTTGTAGATGTTATTTTATACGTCAATAAATATCATTTGAAATATTATAAGCCTTTAGAGAGAAAAAATATCTTTAAAAATATACAATTTGAACCGAAAAATTCAAACTTTTTAAAATGCAAAATGAATGCAATTACAGTACTCGAATAGATGCAGTTTTTCTCACTTTTTCACATTTTACGTAAATACTTGGATTTAACATAGTTCAAAGTTTTCTTTATCCGGAATTTTAGATTAGTAGAATCATTAATGAAATACGCAAGAAAAATACAAGGAAGTAGTCGAGGAAAAACAACAAAAAAATCCTGTATATAAATAAATACCTAAGGCCGCGTGGATCGCGTACAGATGTAATTGGATCTAATTACGATCGTTCTTATTAATTAAATTATAGACAAGCTTTAAGGAAGAGACTATCTAGAGGTCATTCTTCCTTAGGCATATTTTTAAGGGCGTTCGTTTGATGTTAGAAATATTAGTATTTCGAGTGAGGATTCTTCTTCGTTTCATCTACGCAATGGACTTCTTATCGTGTATATCTGATAGTATTATTGCACACGACATCGATAATTATTGTATACTTACTTCAAAACATTAATTTAATTCACCTAAATTATCGTAACCAAATCACTGTTTAAATAAAAAGGTAAAATCTCAAATATTTCATCTACAGGATCCATGCTAAAACGTTATTCTAGATACAAATCAAACGTCTGAAATTACCTATAACCCCCTTATAGGCCCCTATCGATTGAATTTTCTCCCGCAGATGAGTTTGCATATTAAATTACATTCTAAAAAAAGTTAAAAACGAACCAACCTATTAATATACTTTGCCTTCCGTTTAATTAGTATCTAAAAAAGTGATTATAATAATTTATCTAGAGTCTATTGTATTTTGTGCTAAAGTCCGGGAGATAAGCTAACAATTTTCTTAATTTAAAACGCAATTTAATAATTTTAATAACAGTTAATATCAATTTCTTTGAAATTTCTAAAGCGAAGGTCATATTTTTAAACCGTGGTAACCGAGCTTCGTGTGCGATGCGTACAAGGACTGCGATATCCTTGTATGCGTCACACACGAGTTTTTTAAATTCGTGTACTTCCCCAAGCGAAGTAGTAACATAATTTATAATCGACAATAACCGGAAGGTTTAAATTATCCGGGTTTCTTAAATTAATAAAAACAAAATAAGACAAATTGCTAAAAAAAAATTGAAGTCACATTTTCCATCATAGTCCTACCTATGTTTTTTGTAAAGACCAGCTGCACCTACTTTAAACTCACAAATGACAGATGTAGGTAATAATAACAGTAATAACACGGGAGGAAAAGGTACAGGTAGTGTACTTTATCGCTCTTATCGGAATGAAATACAGATAAGGTGCATCCAATTAGTTTTTTTTTGTTTTAAAATGTCGTTTAAATTATCGACACGTCTACTTTTAAACTGTTAATAACCTGTTATTTAAATTTAAAAAAAACAATAAAACAAAGCAAAATATGTTATTTATTCACAAAAATTACAAACTTATAAATATATATATACACAGTAAATATAAAATGAATATTTTAGAAAAGAATTCGAACTCTATCGGGGTGAAATAGTACTTCTTCTGACTCCATGTCTGAAACTAGAGGATGATGTCAGAGATTGAGCTCTCTGAATCTGAACGGTGTAACTGTTGTAGTTGCCGATAGTTTGAGCGAGAATCGATGCAAAATAAACAAAATTGACCAAACTCTAAAAATATATTAATTGTCGTTATTTAAAAACTTAACTATCGCATAAAAAATGAAAATCACTATCCACTTTTTACCTGGAAACAAACCATTAGTGTGACGTACCACGATTTGGGCTGGATGTTTGCGGCCCCTAGGCAAATTTAAGTTGATTATACAGTGCAGAAAATATTAAAAAATAAATAAATAGAAAATTTTTACCGCATAAAGTGGCAGACGACACAGATAAATAGAGCATTCTTATATATTGGGCAAAGGCTCCGTTGCTTTTAATGTGGTCCGTTTCAGAAAATTCCCAACTAGTGGGCTGTAATATTTGAATTCCCAAAAATGAAATTTAGTTTTTGTTAATTGCAGCAATAATCTAGCAATTTTTTTTTTTTTTTAAATAAAAGAATAGTTTTATAAAATGCTCTATAAAATTTAATACATTTTAAGATGACTGACTTTTATATGAAATTGTTTTCATACTTTAATTAATTGACATAAAAATTAATATAGAAATCCAATAAAAAAAGTTCTAAAACATACGCTAAGCGAATGACAGAAATAAAGCTCACTTGTCAGACAGCTTTAATTTAGACCTGTTTCTACCCACATCTTTAGACAAAAATAATAGTTAACAATAGTCAGCCATTTGCTCTAAGGCAAGGATTAGTTGGCATAGAAGATAATAAAACCATAATTCGTTTAGACTTAAAATTTTACGTTATTTCTATCTTCGGGTTTATTTTTATTCATTTTACGATCATTCTCTCGTTAACTCCGAGGTTTTTTTAATCGATGTGGCAATTAACAAACTTAGTTGAAGTTCTGGTAGAACGAACATGTAAAATCCCAATTTAGAATCAGTTAAAAACTCTTTAAATGATTCTCGTTCAAAAAAAATAAAAAAAATTAGCGAGTTTAAAACATGATTAGGAATAAATTAACTTACTTCGAATCTAAAAACGATGAAGTACAGACTGGAGAAGACGATAACTGTAGAAAAATACGTTTGTGCCATAAATACAGATTCCACGTCGTGTTTCAATAAATGTTTCGATAAAAGAGCTGAAACCATGAAGTCATTACAAACAAATTGATTGTAAAATGACAGCAACGATCAAGTTACCTAAGCTACAGCATACTCACCTGTTCCAATGCAAACTATTAAGGCATTTATTATAAAAAGGATAACCGATATTACGTTCACCTTCAAAATAGAGAAAAATCTATTTTTATTTTGTAAATATAAAATAAATCATAGTATTTCCGATTATCTGCGCTAAAAAAACGCATTTATTTATAAGCATGATAAGTTTCTCTATGCTTTAAAATACTGATCGATAATTTCTACATATTAGAATAAGTCTTAAATTACCATTGTTTCGTAAAACATAGGGCCGTGTTTCCATAAATGATCGTAAAGAGCTGATAGTGACAGTATTATTCCCTAAAAATAGATGTTTATAAATGAAATTTACGGTTCATTGTAGACAATATAACAGCAGTAAAGCCAAAATATCCAGACCTGGAAAAGTAAAACAAACAGAAGTTGGTATCTAATGACGAAAGGAATAGGTTTCCGGGGTTTAACTTCTCTATTTGTCTGTGAGGTTTCTCTGGCAGAATGCAATTGAATCTTCAATACAGTAGCCATATCTTCTAAGCGGAAAATCAAGTCATTTATTTCTTTTATTCTCTCTTCTATATCCGAATTATTATACTGTAAACTAGAACAATAGTTTAAACTTTAATAAACTGTAATTAATTTTAATTAGAGTCATTAATTTTAATTGACTAAAATGGATCGTAAGAAAAAAAAAATCTTTTCTGCCTCGTTTCTTGTTAAACCGATAATTATTCTCTATATTTACTTTTAAGCGTATTTTTAAGGTTAGGAAGCATATAAAATTTAACTATATTAATAATAAAATAGAATATTTTTAAAATATTTCCACACTAAAATTTTCTAATTTTATATATGAAATAAGGAAGTGACGTTAGTTGAGAGCCAATTCCGCGAAAACAATTCTTATACGCGTTATTTGCGTTCAAAGTTTATTTTATGTCCCGATATTAAACATAAACCTATATATTGTATACTGTACAGTCCTTAGCAAGACACATGCCCCGGGCTTCGCGCTAAGGGAAACCTCAAGCTACCGCATTTTGTAAAAATTATATTTAAAATACTAAATTTGACAATTTGTATATTAGATGTGAAATTTATTTTCCTATAATTAGCCACAAATTTTCATGTTTTGAAGCCGTTTGACACTGGTAAATTTATCATCAAATAACAAATAGTGTGTGTTAAGTGTATATATAGCAGGAAATCATTTCTGTATTATTTATTACAAAATTTGACGTTAAATTAGGCACAGTGTAAACGGATTTTAAATTAACGGTATAATTGGTAACTTTATTTAGCCATGGGTATTTTTCGTAGCAACGTAGATCAACAAAATGTGATAGAATAATAGACAAAATGCCGTGTGGACTTTAGGTATTATTTTAAGAAACGAAGAACATCGAAATATAAACGGAAGCGACTTGTCTAATGAAATTAAAATACTGTATTTTGCAAACGTATAAAACTGCAATGTAATGTATAAAATCAAGGATTTGTTTCCAAATTTGTATATAGCTTTACGAATCTTATTAACTCTTCCAATTGCTATTACCTCAGAAAAAACTACGCTCTGCAGTCAATGCAAAGTTAAATTAATAAAATTACTCAAGAACTTTTATGACTCAAATATTGTCTAATTATTATAATTAAACGCTTTTATTAAACTTGATTTGTATCAGTGCTGGAATTCTCCAAATTTCAATCACTTAATCAAAATTCACACTGAAAAATCAGATGACAATGCATTTTATTAAAGTGTTAGGGAATGCCCCACTCCCAAACCGAAATAAACATACCCAAATGTAGAATTTAATTAATAGTACCAATTGAACGTGGATATTTTACATTTTCATCCTCAAACCCTTAAAAAATTATCAAAAAAATTTAATCAGTAATATTATTTTTAAACAAAATTACAGATGTATACGTGTAAATGCATTTTAATAATGTGGTGAGAGTGGCTCAATTGTTTTTCAATTTTTTTTTATATATATTTTATTATTATTTGACACTATCGTCTAGTGAACATAAACTATGAGAAAATTTAAATTTCAATGATATACGCCTAATTCATAATTTTGCAAAAAACGCAAAAGTACATTTTATGAAATGATCATCTCAAAATTTACAGTAAAGTACAAACATATTAGTTTTATAGACTCAGTATTTATTTCGTTAATAGATTACTTAATCATTAACTCATTATTTTTAACAGGTCTGAAGATATTTCACTTATTTCATTAGAACAGATTTCTGCCAAGCTAAATGGTGCATGAGCAGAGAAGTAAGGTTATTTGTTTCCAATAATATCGACTTTTGCCCTGGGCCTGCAAACTCTAGAGGTGGCCCTGACGCGAGATTAAAAAAATTATGTTGTAAATATAATTTAGACCAAGAGACGGATTTCTATTAACACAGAATTTACACTAAATAATATACAAAAGTTACCTTTCATAGAGAGCAATTCCGCTAGCTAAACTGGCCAACAACGAATTGTTTGTCCTTTCTTCGATGACAGAGACGTTTGCCTAAGTGTTAATGTTTTGTCACAAATTTTTTTTTCGTGTTTTAATTCTTGAATTACTATTACTACTTACGTTCTGCACCTCGGGCTCGCTAACGCTTTCGTGACCGTTCATTGTTGAAGGATCAAATCGAATCACTTCTGTCAATTCACAAATCCCGTCTTCTAAATGATGGCTGTCCCTCCTGTAACGTTTTTAAGTCAAGTGTGTATTTAAATCATCTCATTTGCATTTCGGTTGGATACGTGTAAAATCAGACCGCACGTTATGGCTGGTTCAAACCCCGTTACCTAATGATTTATCATATCTAATTGTTCTAAAAAGACTGGTACAGTAGATAAGCAAGTAACGATTAATTATCGATAACTAGTTACTTCTCATTCAAATACCACGTGTTTTAAGATGCAAGAACATCCTAGGTTAGTTCAATATGACTTACCATTTGACACCCGTACTTTTAGACATTTTAAAAAACAATTTTACAGCATATAAACGAATTCCAAACTGTTTATGCAAGGGGGTGGATGCTTTATCAACATTATCAGTTTAATCTATCAATTTATCACTCCATTCAATAAATTGAACACAATGTTTTTGAAATTAAATTTATTTTTGAAAAATTCTTAACTAAAATTTATTACATTCAGTAACACTCCTATAACTACTTACAAATAGATTAGTTTACTTTAAAAACTGCCAACTGTACACATTTGCAATTCCTTTGCAAGAGAGATAGATAAAGATACAATGAAAATATATTTTTAAAATAAGTTTTTTTTTCTTTTTTCCACAAATTGGCTATTGCAAATTATAGTTACTTTTATCTAGAATACTATCCATCGATACTCTGTAAATTTCAAACATAACTCGAGCGAGTTGGGACAATTACAATGTGCATAGTGAAATTACGTGAACGTGTGCCGAAATGAATTTACAACACATCTCCAACTGTCCATATATTTAAGACTACGGATAAAGTATGTAAACGACTAAATTGGAACAGATTTTTTTCCAGACAAAATCGTTTTGCTCCTCTTTCTGCAATGTACAGTCAGATAAATGTCTGTTAACGAGTCGCCGGAAAAAGTTCTTTTATATATATATTACATGCTAGTTTCATGTCGTGGTTTAGAGTGGGATCTGTGTCCGCTTCGTGATTTGCTGCTCGAACCATGTTTTCGCTTTGACTTCGATTCAGAGCTTGGAATTTTCATTTTTGGGCTCTCTGGACTCGGCTCTGGAGATTCTACAACACTAAAAGAAAAAGAAAAAAAATTGTTAGTGAGATTGTTGGAAGGTGTAAACAAATTAATAATAATAATAATAAATTAAATTACTTTGCAGGTCCTGCAGTGATGGCCAAGGGTTCTCGTCTCAAACCTGGACTTCTCTCTCTCCACTGTGAAGAACCATTGATTGCTGCATGTCTGGATCGATAAACTTGAGCTCTATCTTCCCATTCTCGATTAAAAGATTCAGCTTCTTCTGTATTTGATTATTTCAAAGATTTAGATCTGATTTTCTTCAGTTAAACCTTAAACATTTAGATATTAAATTACCTTCTTCAATGTTAATATATTCTTGGCATTCATCTTCTTCACCCGTATATCTATTTCGGGATTTCTCTATGACATGTCCCCGATCCTGAAGATGATGGCCTATGGCCATCTTCTGAACACCTGTTCTGGTATCCTGTACACTTCTACGAGTTTCACTTACCTATAAAACAGAATACATAACTACTATGTATTCTACTTTATAGACAAGTGAAATTAATCCAAAGAATAATTAAATTAATAATAACAATTACTATTAATTTAATTTTTCTATGAACTAATTGCATATGTATACAAATCTTCTCTGTAAATTAAGACTAACAATTATTTTATTAAAATATGCATAATACAATAAAAATATAAAGGAATATTAAAAAGGCTAAAATATGAAAATATTATGGACAACTGAATTCTTCTTAATAATTTATATTTCTAAAAATGTTTGTTTGTGAAGTATTAAGAATTCCCACTTTATTATATAATAATAATATATTAAACATATTATTCTTTCCTTTATTTTCTTTTATTACAATAGGTGACAAACTTCTGTTTGAACAGTTTTTGAATTTCATGCAGCAGATCATCTTGTAGAAAAAAACAGTTCTTCCTTATTCATTAATAATCTTTCCACCTACTAATAAACTTCAGAGTTAAGAAGCATATCTAACATGTATTGTAATCTCTTATAGAGGAAAATGTGATTTTGTTGTGAATATGTTTCTGAATATATTATAATTTTAAAATCATAAATAGCTGTATATTTAGGATAACAATAAAATTGGTTTTCAGATGCCAAAATGTAATAAATAAAATTTATTACTTTTAAGTTTGTTCAATTGAGGAAAATTTAGTTTGCAATTTAATTTATTAGAAAATATTTTTAGAGTGGCATATATTTTAGAATGAAAATGTTTCATAATGTGAAAATAAATACTGTAATGGAATAAGTTATTCATTATAATTTACAGATTTTGAATTTGAAAATATCCAAATTCAAAACTGAATACTTCTTTCTTTGAAAAAAAAAAATCAAAATATGATTTTGGGTGTGACAGGAAAAATTTCAAACCTGAAAGACTACAAATTTTTTTTATTAGGAAAATATAAAACCAATATAAGATCTATTTTCATAGTTTCAAAGTAATACACAAGACTTACTCCACCAGGTCCTGTTCTTTTTGATGAAGAAGCCTGATATACTTGGGGCCTACCATGTTCATCTGTTGTGAACGTCATTACAGAAGAGGAAGAATAACTATGACAATTTGGATCTTGAGATAAACGATCCTAAACAAAAATGCTATAATAAGTGTCTTTTAACTTATTACAAATATTTCATAAAAAATTAAAACTTACAAAATTACTAAACATGCTATTCATGGATGGAAATAGACTATGACCAAATCCAAATGGCATTAAACTATTTCTATTTTGTCTTGACACACCATNAAAATAAATGAATTAGAGAAAAGAAATGTTATATATAACTTTAATTGTAATAATAAAATTATTTATTTAGGAGAAACTAGATAATGTTTAAAAGCGTGAATAAAAACATATTAGTGCTGTAAAATATAGTACACAAAATTTTGCAGTTGCAAAACATTGTAACCAAAATGGCTGTGGAAAAGAAAAAAATTCAATAAAAACCATAAAATTTGAAAGAAATAATAACAAAACAAAAATATCATGAACATATTGAAATATTAAATGTTAAAAAAGAAAATAGAATCATTGATTTTTCTTATAACCATGGACTAGTTTATTCAACATCCTTTTTTCATAATTCATATTAATCAGAGACTAAGACACTTAATCAACTTCTTTATGTTTATTCGGCAATGCATTGTGAATTGATATAAATTCATCTCTCTTCAGTCTACAAAATTTTTTAAAAATACATAAATTTCTCTCAAAAAATTTAAAAACTTCTTAATCTTTACAAAAAAAAAAAGAACAAACCTTATAATATATTCATTTAACAGATTCTTTGCTATCCTGCCCCATGTTTACAATACTTTTTATAGTGAGATGACATATGGTACAATGTCATATTAATTTAAATAAGGGAATGGATGTAACTATCATCATCACAATAATTCATTGTGATATGTTCTTTGAATCTTTTCCTTTATACAGAATTTTTATGTATTTCTATCAATAATACATTTATTTTTCTTACAAATTACTGCCCACTGAGATTGCTGATATATTAATCTTATTGCCATTTCATGCTCTTTTAATCTTGCTTTCAATGGTCTTTTAGTTNATATACCACTTTATTATGTAAAATGTAATAGTTAGTATTATATAAAATAGCAAAAAGCCTAATTTTGAGGGTAGAGATAAATTTTTAAAAAAAAATTGCAAATGCTAACAACAAGAAAAATCTTAATTAAGTCAAACCCCATTTGAGATATGACAAGTGATTCCCTTTATCTTCCAACCCCTTTAACCTTTAACCATCAAAATTTAATAGCATAAATCCCCCTAATATACAAACCTCCCTGCAAAATTTCAAATTATTTTGACAAAAGATACAGAAATTATTAAACTTCAAAGTAGGTGAATAAAATTGTGTCATCCATCCACCACATTAACATCCATAAATACAGAAAAACCCCAAATTTTTATGCATTTCTCAATGTTTCAAGGTCCAGAGTCCAAAAATGTAAAAATCTTGGAGTCATTTTTGACTAATTACTACAATGTACTTTCCCAATGTATATAACAGCCGGGAAATTAAAAATGTTCATCTTATTGTAGGCCTAAATAAATCTAACCTCTACCTCCATTATTTTTTTAAGGCCTAACAAAATAAATTTTGCCTTAGGGCCTTGTAAATCTTGTAAATTCTCTACTTGTAGAATATTATGAAAATTTATTAAACATTCTATTGTTTAATTTAGTGTCATATTTTTTTAACTCTAAAAATGGCCTCATTGCCTAACCAACTACTTTTTTTTTAATGAAAAAGTTTGCTTTTTTATTTCTCCATTGTTCATTTACTGAAAAACAATAACACGTTATTTAAAAATGGTTATTTTTAAACATTTCTGTTGATTTCATAGGCATTTCTATTGTGATACAATTCACATAACATTCAATAGTCAAATGCTTTTGCACAAAGCCAACTCAATGGCTTTGTGATGCAAACTGAACCAAATAAAATCCATAAAAATGATATAGTTATTTTAGACTGTGTTGTAATTCTACTTAAATAACAAACAATGAGAAACAACTTTCTTACAATTTTTTACTATATATTCAATTTAGCTGAATATAAGAAATAAGTGCACTATTTTATTTGTGATAACTGTATAAAATTTATAATTAATACATTAATTTACAAAATTATAGTTTTAAAATGTAATGTATTAAAACTGAAAGTTTAACAAAAAAAAAAAAAAAAATACTCAAGGAAGTATACAACAAATGAGAACTTTAAAATAAAAAATTCTATTGTTACATTTTGAGTCCAATCATTGATCTTTGTTTAGTTTTTGAGAAAACAAACTAAAAAAAATGTATTAACACTAGTTATCTCAAAATCTGAATTTTTAATTATTGTAATACTGTCCTGAAAAACAATATACTATTGATAATAAATTTATTGCATCTACCATTCTTCCGATAAGTGTATAAGGCATTTTAATTAATATAGAAAATTTTTAATGATGTAAACATTATGTAAGTCTAAGATGAAAAGTTCGATAACAATCAGCTAATTGATATATTGTGTAATAATGATTATTTAGCAAATGGAGATTTTTATCATTAAGACAATGTGCTAAAGAATGTTGAGACAACTCACCAATGGCCACCGATCTTCTTTTGTTGATCACACTGATCATTAAATCATTGTTTAACAAGTCAGAAGAAATTCTTTCATTTTCCTTTTCCAGAGCACCTGTGTAATTATTTAGCTTGGTATTTAACTCGTCCACTCGAGTCTCATAATAATGTTCATTACCAGATCTATTAATTACTTCATGTTTTTTCAAACCATCTAACTGCAATTAAATCAAATATTTAATGAAATAATTATTTGATAAAAAAATATTTCATCACGCCACATACAGTTAAATTACTACTTACTAAGTATTTTTTTAACAAAAGAAAAGAATAACATTTAGTAATCAAAATCAAACTCAGCAGTGAGAAATAGTTAACAAATTTTCAATTTAAAATTTATTAGCAATCATTGTTGTACCTTAAGTTCAGTAGATATAACTTTCTGTTTGAGCAGGGTGGCTCGTCTTAAAGCTGCATGCCTTCGCTCCACATCTTTTCCTGCTGTCTATAACACAGGAAATAGTAAAAATTAAAACGAAAATCAATAGATAAGGTTCCCTTTCTTGGCATTACAAAGTTTTGAAATAGACAGCTTGAAATAAATTAGATTCAAGAATAGCTCATGTTTTTGGATTAAAGCAAACTTTTTACAAAATAGTCTTGATTACTGTATGTAAAACTTTGTGAATTTTTAGAACTCCATCATTTGTCCTTAATAAAAATAATTATCAAAAAATTATGAAGTGTTATGAAGTATATTTTTAATTAAAAACAAAAACTTTCATGAATTTTTAAAAATTATTCTTTTAAATTATATCTGTTATTTTAAAAGTATTATTTTAAGATCTATTAAGCTATATCGCAGGAACTTCCTCTTCTGAAACACAAGGAAATGGTTAAAGATTAGAAGAGGACTAAACAAAATTGATTGAATAATTATATAAATAAAATTACCATCACCATTTTTTCTTGTAAAATAATATTTTTATCCTTTTTTCCATCGTAGAAACATTTTAATTCTGCAAAATTAGAAATATTTATAATATTTTCACAGAAAACGATAATTATATATATTTAACCTAAATTTAAATCGTAAACTTTAAACATAGCCAGGAAAAGCACATACCACCATTTTCCAAGTTCAAACCTTCGAAATCTAGGGTTGATTTTTCTGCCATGATTGACTATGTATTACACATCAAGTGGTTAAACGGTATAAATTCGTAAATATTTCGATTTCTTAAACTTTTCTAGAAATATTCGAAAACGATTCATTGTTTCTTCAAAGATAAATAAAAAGCTACGTAATTAAGAATAAAGAGATATTTTCGTTTGACCCATTCGCCTAATAACCTGGCATTGTACACGCTATCGTTAACACGCCACATTAACCTTGTGTTATCTGTTTCTGGTTCCTTATTTTCGTCGAAAATGATGGTTGCTCTGGAAAATGTGTAGTTGTTTACTGTATTTTAACCCAGAGCTTAGCTTTTATCATAAAAGATAGATTATACAGAAAAATATGTAAAAAGAATTTTGTTTTCGAATAGTTTGTAGTTTTATGGTGGTTTTCTTGCATTTTTCTATATAATTTTTTATTTCTAGTACGGATACCAAAACCACGGAGGTAGCATACGGAATAATACAAAAAAACTGATTCTCAAGTCCGATCGATAAGTATTGTATATTTGCACCCAAAAAATTCGGTTTTCTATTGGAATGTACAGTACAGTACATCTAACAAACTACATTGTCAAAATACAGTAGACTTATCATGTGACACGACTGCCTCGACCGTAACATTCGCGTGCTTTGAACAGATTTTTCCTCATCTCGGAAGGTTTGATGAACTCGGACCTTAAGTTTGAAATTTGATGCTTGAAACATATAAACGGTTCCTATAATACCAGGCTCTTACTTTAAAATTCGGAGCACGTACATGCACGATTAAGTAAACTCTGTGACGTTTTAGAAGAAAGCTTTCGAATTTAACGTCTGGGTTGCGAAATAACGGCAGGTTAATTTTAGTTTGGATAAAGGTGAATTTTTATTCTTCCGTTACATAACCTTGTTTGGGTGATTAATGCCGAAAACTTTGCTTCTTTACAAATGCACTCTCTCCTATTTGTTTTTATCTAAAAAGTACTGTATTCGACTTCTATTAAAAAGCATTACGCGTAACGCCAAATTTATAGAGCAAAAAGTACATAAAATCCTTTTGTAAATGTTATTTTATACGTCAATAAATATCATTTGAAATATTATAAGCCTTTAGAGAGGAAAAATATCTTTAAAAATATACAATTTGAACCGAAAAATTCAAACTTTTTAAAATGCAAAATGAATGCAATTACAGTACTCGAATAGATGCAGTTTTTCTCACTTTTTCACATTTTACGTAAATACTTGGATTTAACATAGTTCAAAGTTTTCTTTATCCGGAATTTTAGATTAGTAGAATCATTAATGAAATCCGCAAGAAAAATACAAGGAAGTAGTCGAGGAAAAACAACAAAAAAAATCCTGTATATAAATAAATACCTAAGGCCGCGTGGATCGCGTACAGATGTAATTGGATCTAATTACGATCGTTCTTATTAATTAAATTATAGACAAGCTTTAAGGAAGAGACTATCTAGAGGTCATTCTTCCTTAGGCATATTTTTAAGAGCGTTCGTTTGATGTTAGAAATATTAGTATTTCGAGTGAGGATTCTTCTTCGTTTCATCTACGAAATGGACTTCTTATCGTGTATATCTGATAGTATTATTGCACACGACATCGATAATTATTGTATACTTACTTCAAAACATTAATTTAATTCACCTAAATTATCGTAACCAAATCACTGTTTAAATAAAAAGGTAAAATCTCAAATATTTCATCTACAGGATCCATGCTAAAACGTTATTCTAGATACAAATCAAACGTCTGAAATTACCTATAACCCCCTTATAGGCCCCTATCGATTGAATTTTCTCCCGCAGATGAGTTTGCATATTAAATTACATTCTAAAAAAAGTTAAAAACGAACCAACCTATTAATATACTTTGCCTTCCGTTTAATTAGTATCTAAAAAAGTGATTATAATAATTTATCTAGAGTCTATTGTATTTTGTGCTAAAGTCCGGGAGATAAGCTAACAATTTTCTTAATTTAAAACGCAATTTAATAATTTTAATAACAGTTAATATCAATTTCTTTGAAATTTCTAAAGCGAAGGTCATATTTTTAAACCGTGGTAACCGAGCTTCGTGTGCGATGCGTACAAGGACTGCGATATCCTTGTATGCGTCACACACGAGTTTTTTAAATTCGTGTACTTCCCCAAGCGAAGTAGTAACATAATTTATAATCGACAATAACCGGAAGGTTTAAATTATCCGGGTTTCTTAAATTAATAAAAACAAAATAAGACAAATTGCTAAAAAAAAAATTGAAGTCACATTTTCCATCATAGTCCTACCTATGTTTTTTGTAAAGACCAGCTGCACCTACTTTAAACTCACAAATGACAGATGTAGGTAATAATAACAGTAATAACACGGGAGGAAAAGGTACAGGTAGTGTACTTTATCGCTCTTATCGGAATGAAATACAGATAAGGTGCATCCAATTATTTTTTTTTTTTGTTTTAAAATGTCGTTTAAATTATCGACACGTCTACTTTTAAACTGTTAATAACCTGTTATTTAAATTTAAAAAAAACAATAAAACAAANTAGCTCTTTTTGTCATGACTAGATCCAGCAATTCTAGTGTGAATCAAGCCTTAATCATTTTTAAGTGTCCTTAATCTAGTTGTAGAAATTCAGCATTTCTAGATACACTCAATAATTGTTCCTATTTTTTTAAAGATCTTTTTCAAGTAATCTATATATATTTTATATATTTAGTATACCAGTTTATTTAGCTATGGTATACTATGCAGCCTTAACTCTGTGTATTAAAGATGTCAGCAGTAAGTAATCTTATATTAGTAATATACTTTGTGTCTTGTAAGTATAGGTATCCCTCATATAACACGGTAATTCGATAAACAGTAGTAGTACGTTCTGAAAAAGTGCCATGTTATTCAAATCTGAGCTATATGAAACAAAGAACTAATGCAAAACATGGGGTTATGTTCCAGAAGTTAGCAAAAGTATACTATTATTTTTCATTACTCAGAGGAATATGTTTATTAAAGCAATCGATAATTTATTTCCAATCAATAATTCATTAACAAGCACAATTAAAATTACCATATTATGTGTTAATATTAATTTAAATTAATTTTAACATTTTCTTTTTACAAAATATTGTCGTCTTTTGAGCTTTTTTGTTGATCCTGATCAGAACTATCAGCAACATTTTCATATTTTTTAGTTTTATCATAAAAATTTTTATGAATGATGAATTAAAAATATGTTATTAATCAAAAATTTGTTCTAGCGGGTTGTGTTTGTTCAGTCAAGTACTGTGACTTTTTCCAGAATTTTCTTTGAGTACAGATATACTGCCATATTTTGTTTGTCATTTTAAGAATGATTGCTTACCTACAATTAAAAAAAGTTTAATAACACTTATCTAAAAATGTTTAAATAAACTTTTTTGTTTTTATATTGTCTACTTGGATCTTGTTTATTAATAGGACTTATACTGTTGTAGTTTCTGATTAGCAAAGAGAGAAAGTCTTAGGTAAAACAAACGATAAAACAAAATAAAGATACCTTTATTTATGTATTTTTACTGTATGCTTAAATAAACTTTACTAAATACAAAGATTAATCTATAAAAAGAAACAGAGTGACAGTCTTAAGGATTAAGTCTGAAAACAATGACAACACCTGGTTGATAGGAAAGTTAGTGCAATTGTTTTCTTCCTTGTCCTATCAGTTTTCATTAAAGTAAACCTGACGGAAAATAATTTGAAAATTTCAATATTCTAAAATCCATGGGCAAATTTGAGACAACATGCATGCTTACTTGAATGAAAAAAAAAAATCATAAAAAAGTCTATAAAATTTTGAAATTTTGTATGGATGATTTCCAAAACCATGTTAGGGTGAAACTGTGTTGTACAAGAGATACCTGTATTGTTTTTTTCTCTCCCTTCTTAAAAATTTTTGTGTATTTCATTAATGAAGTCTACAATATGTAAGTATTAATTAATTAAAAATATTATTATATACTGTGATAAAAATAAAATCAGATATGATTACACAATTCTAAGAGAATCATATAGAGGAAATGGACTAGAAGGAAAAATACAGTATTAATTAACGTAATATATACATATATATAGCAGCAATATGGGTCAACAGTTTTATGTTGTTTGAAACAATTCCAAAGTAATTGATAAGGAAATGCTAGAATTTGTAATAAGATTACTGGAAGTGCTAATAATAGATTTACATATTAACATATACTGTAAATCCTCTAAAATAAGACCTTACCAGAAAATCCTTACATGATTTTTCACGATGCTCATAATATGAACCCTATCCCTAAAATAAGCCCCAGTTAAGATTGATGCTAGATAATCGTATTTAATGTCTGTTGTAACCCACAACAGATGTATTGAATTTTAAAATAATAATATATAATTAAATATAAATACTGTAAATATTATTATTGGCATTAATATTTAAAAGAAATCAGTGATGTGCTGTCATTGGAAGCGGTGGAAGCGCTGCTTCCCTTGTATTTTCTAAAAAATAACTACATATTAATTTTAATTATATGAAAATAATCACACAATATTTTATTATAACCGCATTATGTATCTTATTACAAATTTCTGTACTATATTTGAAAAAAAAAAGATAAGATTGCTATTGTATATTCAAATATTAGTGGTGGAGTGAAAGCTCTGTATTGTCAGCATCCAAAAAGCCAGATTTGTTATATTTTCACATAAATTCATCCTCAAAATACAGCCACTTACACTGCCAATATCACCACAAT